AAATATTTATTTTATCTATTTATTAATTACTTAAAATAATTAATTGATCGAATTCGGATTGAATTGAATATTGTAATACTTAATCAAATTTGAATTCGAACATTAATTTTCAATATATATCAAATATTGAATCACATTCGAATATCAATTTTTTTAATCGAATTCAAATTCAGATATTGTCTCATTTGATTTGGGTTGGATTCGCTTACACCCATTCCAATGTTTACCCCAAGTCTCAATTGTCAATAGCTTTGTGTAGGCTTGTCAAGGTATTTCTACACAATGAAACCAATCAACCAATTGACTGGTTATGATTAATCAAACCATGACCATCCTTATCAATCGGAATCCGGATCTACTCCCAACAAAAAAAAAAAAAAAGTTGAAACATAACCTGTGTCTGCACATTTCATACATACCGGGAAGAGATCCCAACAAAAACTGAGCTTTTTGGCTTCAGCCCATCACCATCAGTAAAGCGTGGTTTCCACCCGGCCCGAAAATGATCAAGAGGCCCATGTTTTTATAATAGCTACTTCAATTTTAAATTTTTGGAATAGAAAGTTTCATAAATGGGTTTCTCCCCACTTTTGTGAGAATATGATTGCTTAATTAGATGAGCTGTCGGATTGAACCTACTGCCTCTCTGACCAGTAATGGGATTCCCTGTAAGCAACATATTGGGAACATTTCTTCATGAATTTAATATATATTAATGTATAGCTGAGTGTTATGTGAGCAGATTTTTTGCTTGCATGAGATCTGAGCTCCTCAGACCATGTTCCCACTTGTAAAATCATATCGCTGGTGCACATACCTTCATTCTAAACAATTGCTTACTGCCATAACCTAAGTAAGATCAAATAGTCTTTAATTTAATATACAGTTTGTTTTCACGTAAGGATATTTAGGCTGCATTTGGCATTCCTTATTTTATAAGGACCTGTCTACTTTTTACGGTTAAACTATCCTTATGAACACTGAGTTTTTAACAGCAAAAATGAGGTTATTCCTTAAAATTTTAAGAAATGCCAAATGCAGCCTTAGTTGATCCCTCTCTTTTTCCATTTTCCATACATTCCCATTCCCCACTCCGATCCCATTACTGAAAAACAAAAAGAATCTTGTTTTCCTTCTTTCTCTGGACAAGAGAGAGAGTTAAGGATTTCTCTTTCTTTTCAATACATATAAATAAGATTGATCAATGAGAATGAAGATAAGTCGTTTAATCAACTACATATACTAGTTGAGGTTTAAGTAAAGCTTACAACCTCTAAAGAAGATAAGACGTTTAATTACTTAAAGATTAGAGGTGGCGGAGGAGATGAGCGTGCAGCGATCATACTCTTGGGCCGATTAGGAATGGGACTCTGGGGAGCATAAAGACCGACGACGCCTCTACGAACAAACCAATTACCTGACCAGGAAGCCACGAACTGCCTCTGATTCATATCTCCGTTGACACCAAAATCTTCTCCAGCTTCACTTTATTCCCAAGTACTTGATCATAACCTGTTGCCCGAGATACAGCCTCGATTTTGATGGGGGTAAAATGCAAAGTATTGATATAGCAAGGATTACTAAGGCCCCCTTCAGTTTGGTATCGAGTGAAAGATCAGTCGAGCGTATGGCTACTTGAACATACATCTAATATATTAAAGCATAAAGAAAGTTTTATTTCTGGTGGTGGTTAGGTGAGGTCCCCGGCCCGAGAGTACTTTTTTGTTCTCTTAACACGCTTCTCATGCAAAAATTCATTGGGCTTAAAGTGTGAACATGTTGAAATTTAATTGACTATAATGGGAATAACAAATATCAAATGCTAGTTCACTTGGTCAAATTTCAAGCTTTAATACAATTTCAAGTAATGGTTAACCTAAAAAAGCTTAACCTGCTAGGTGTCCTTCATGAATAGGTTTTTGTTCTTTAGTAACGAATTGTATATCATGAACAAAACGAATTGAAAATAATAACTTTGTATGCCATTTTAACGCATGACTCTTTAATTATCTTTAGTAAATGTATCAAATTCTTTTGTGGGTTTGGATTTGGATTCTAACTGGATCCAAATAATTCTAATAGGATTGTTCATAAATAGTCAGACCCCATACTCGTATTCTACTTGACAAGAGTCACTACTACATAACCCAGGTGCATACGCACATAGAAAACCTACTCCCAAATTCATCAAACCCTGAAAATTGAAATCATGTAATAATAAAAAGAAAAACTGCTCTTTCTTCAATTGATGTCTCATAAATTCATAATCAGACAAACCAGAAAGTAATCAAACGAAGGAAGTAAAAAAAAAAAATTAAAGGAATGCGAAATTTCTATACATGGAAACGAAATCGAAGGCAGACTGAACAGAAAACCAAAAACAAATTACATCAAATAGAAAATGAAAATCCATATATTGCTTATAAGTTGATCATGTAGAAAGGCATTAAAAGTAAACAATGTTTTATTTCTGCAGCTTCAGATGAGGTGGAGGTGGGCTCGGAACATTCATGGACTTCATGCGATTGGGAACGGGAGGTGGAGGAGCATAACGATCGCCTCTCCTGCGAGGAAACCAAGCACCTGCCCTCACCACCAAAAATCGTCTGTTCACATCTCCATCGTCCACTCTAATTTTCTTCTCCACACTCATCAGTTTCTTCGTCGCCTGATGACCGTGTAAATCACTGGAACTGCTTTGCCAAGTAGTGAAGGCGGAGACTCCGTGCGTCTTCGCCTGCAAAGCACAACCTAAGAACACAAGGATAGCTATCGCCAGAAGCCTCATTTTCTGTGTGTCAGATCAGAAAGATGGGATCGATGGATCATGGGAAGGAAGAAGAGGGATGAAAATCAGTTCTACGTCATATCGCCTGCCTTTATATTTAATTATTCGCGTGGAGAGAAGTCAAGGAGAATTTCGATTTCCTTTCAATAATCAAAGAGTACTGGATAACCAGTCTTCCATCTTCCATGAAACCTACTGGAGTGAAATTAAACATAGTTGACAATAGTTTCTGCATTTAGTAATATTATAATTAATACAAGTTTAATTTTCTCATCTACCGCCCAGTGTGGGGGCTCCATCGATCGCCAGCTAGATGAATGAACACAAGTCTCTATTTACACAGTCGGTCCATAACTATTCATCCATTAATTAATAGAGTAGGTCAAGGAATAAAAAAATCGATAACTTGATTAATGAACTCTGAATCTCTGATCGATGTACCAGGCCGGCAGCAGTTATAGGTTTTGGACAACGAGTGTCCTCTGCGGTAAGACATTCATAAGTGGTGTAACCCTACGTTCTGATCGGGTCCATGCATCCACCTGAAAGATCATGTTACACGTGTCAAAGTTTGGATGACGTGGCAAATTTGACAGGGCCCTATTTTTTTTCTAACAGCATATTCAGAAAAAGGGTGACCCTGTCTCTCTTAACTCATGCTTTTTTTCCCGTAATCAAACTAGTTAGAGGTTTTTAAGGCCATCAACCATCAGATATACGATATCCCCCAAACATAGCCCGATTCAGTTTGCGTTAAAATGTGATTGCCGATTGACTGATTGCTGAATGCATTAGGTTTTTGCGTTCACTTTACCACTACTCTTATCTCGAATAAATGCATGTCCCCGTGTTAGCTGTGTTGAAAGATAGGTTGCAATGAATTAATTGTCTTTGGACTTCTCTAAGGCCCATTTGGTTGGCGGGAGTGGGGGTTTGAAATTGGAATCGGAATGGATTATTTCAATGGTTGAATGGAATCAGAATTCTATTTTCATTCCTATTGGAATGATATTCTTCCATTTGAGGGAATGATTATTCCCTATTTCTTTTTTAGGAATAAAATTCCATTTCTGTTGATTTTAATTGTTATTCTCATTTCTATCTGAACTAAATAGATTATGAGAATAAATCATTATGATTCCAATTTAAATTGCAAACCAAACAGACTCTAAGAAAATTATATCGGTGGTATGGACCTGGGCCTAAAACCATTTGAACCACCAATTTTCATAGACCTAACCCAGCCTCTACTGATGTGCTTAAACAGGCGCAAGGTCAAACTTTGGGCCACCCAGGTCCAATCCCGAGTTTTGTATTCTTAGCCGAGTCCTCTTAAAACATGGACTGAGTCAATTAGGACCAAACAATGATCTGGAGTCTACCAACTTTTTGTATATCCAGCTCTACCAAGTATAAGGCAGTCTTTGAATCATTGATAGCTCTGGTTCGCGTCAAAGCATTAAATCGTCAATGACAAGTTAAAGCCCCCACGTGGCAAATGCCAGACCTATAACCGAGTGTCTGAAGAGCCCCATCCGTAGATCAACAGTCCCGATCAAATGGTGCATTAGATATTGTGGTGTGTATAGTAAGATGCTAGTGTGAAATGTAAGAGGGCAAAACCACAAAATAATAGAATAAGGTAGTTGAATGTCTTTAGACAGAATTTCGCCTCCTCTCTGGATCAAATTGGGCTCAACAGGGCAGATAACCCACACCCACACCTACGTCGGACTCAAATTGATATACGTGTGTGATAAAGAATTCATATAATCAGGAAGCCCACTTAATTAAGTAAAACCTTCATCTCATGCGTAGGAATCCAACGCTCCACTTAATAAACGGGGGCCTGTCATAATCTTCCCATCTACTTCTCTCCTTGCTTACCAAATCCCAGATAAACAAAACACTCTGATAGGACTTACTATTCTATGTCGTCTAGATCTCATTAAGTTTCATCAGCTCAACTGATTGACCTTCGTAATCAGTTGATCCATATCCATGCCAAAAGCGGAGGTCTGACATTTGGGTTACCAAACTGTGTCCCTTTCTAAACCTCACTATTTATTCCAATCCAACGGTTGTTAGACGAGACCCCTCTCTACTATATATATATATATATATATATATATATATATATATATATTAAATATAAAATGGAATCTATTCTGTTGGACCTTCTTTAGCAGTAACTTGCGTAGCATGCATTCAATCTGCTTTCTCGATCGAGCTGCTCTCGCGTCGTCTACAGCTGGTTGAGATGGGGGTGGGCGTGCTTAAGCTTCCCGCAAAGCTATGCGCAGCTGTGCTACTGCTGGCCATATTCCTTCCTCGACACAGTCTTTCAGCGAACATTACCTTGCTTCCTTCTTCTGGTATTCTTCTCTCCTTAACGTACGTGGTTTAAATAAAATTGATCTTACTTCCATGGATCGATCGATCTAAAACATGCTGCTTCTGGGTTTAACGTTTTAGCTGTTGTGGTTTGTTCTTGGAAGGTGATGAAAATAGTTCAGAAACGTTTTCCGATTGTCATGGTAGCTCAAGAAAGGTGAACCCAGGCAAGAAACATCCTGAATTTGAATGTAGAAGCAGTCAGGTGGTGGAATATCATGGCAACAGAGAAACGCCACTTCGCAGTCTAAGATCAACATGGTATCCCGGGCCACCACCACCGATTCGAAATCAGATAAAGACATTCGGTTATGTGTCACCTCCTTCTGGACCCATGCATTGAAGAGCCAAGTTAGTTGCATTAATCTTCCGTTACGTGCATGCACTTGTGCATACATATTTGGTAATCAAGGAATTAAGTTGGTCCCAGCAGGTAATTAAATGGATCAATCGAGCTCGGTTTCTGTAAACAGTTTCTCATTTGATGAATTTCTCTATCATTTTGTGACCCAAGCATTGCATCGTGTCTTTAAATTAATTAATGGTTGAGGAATCCAGTAATCTGGGCTAACTTATGAATTTCTACTTAACACTTTAATATGATATATCAATTTTTAATTTGGGTAAATTGATATTAGGCTCATAATACAAATATATATGAAATAATACAATATAGAAGGTTTTGCATTTTACATACACAAAATTATCCTCCAAAAGAAGATATTGTTCTTCTTCTTCAAGACTAAATTAGAACAGTGGCTAGTAGAGTCCCAAACCCACCATCAATTCACCTCTTCTCAGAGATGCCCCAATAGCATCTCAAAGTCATGTGACGGGATCTATTCCTCACAAATGGGCGTCTTACATAAAACATCTCCCATGAATAATAACAAATAAGTATGGAAAATATTCCCAATGTATGATAGGATATGTGTCTGAAGCACTTATGAGGCGCGAGGAATAGATCCAGTCTCCAGAATCATAATCAATACTTCTTTGACTCGATACTTACAATCTTGGATGTACGGAGCAAGTCCCCTCAATACCGGTGGCCTATGGAAGAGACCAAGCTGTCGGTGGCTTGCCAAGTAATCCTCATCTACCAGCATATGGTAGAGGCTAATTTATCAGTTCTCTAAATGTATTTGATTGTTTATTGTGATAAGGGTAGTTTGGTAATTTTGCTACCCACTGTATCATCCGTTAATGGTATTGGTCTAAATTGGCAGTAAATAACACTAACGTGTTTTAAAGTTTGGTTATGTGAACTTAGCTCGCCTAAAAACTATGTGGTGTGAGCTTGATTCTAACTAGAGACTTGATATCGAATTCAGTTTAACTCAAAAACTCGTAAGTTTGAGCTCAGCTCGGCTGAAACTCAATTGTGAGCAAAGTTTTTAAAAAAATAAAAATTTATACATATTAATGTTTTATGCGTATAAAAAATAATAATTATAAAAACTAGTAATTATTATACATATAGAAAATAAAAATATCATATAATATTTTTACTATGTATATATTATTTTTTTGTGTGTAAAAGCTTGATTAGGCTAACGAGCCAATCTATGTTAGGCTCAAACTCAATTCGATTAGCAAATGAGCCTATATAATAGACTCGAATTTGGCTTGAAGCGCAATTTAGACCGAACCGAATCAAGCTTTTTATGAGCCGAGCTCAAATAGCTCATAAAAAATTCAATTCGTATCTGACACCTAATTACATGGTACTAATATGCAATTTATCCTTTTAATTTTCTCATAACCTACTGGTCGCAAAGCTTAAGTGGTTAATGTGACGTAAATACTTCAACTGCATATACGGCCTTGGCTGGCTGTTGGGGCCTGGAGGAGCATTGAGTACAAAGTTTGATATCACTTCAATTGGGCTTTTTTTTTTGTACATTAGGCATTGAATAAACCCAGGTTTTTTTCGCCTTTAAGTGCGAATGATAGAAATAAGCTTACACCCAAAGACTAGAGATTTACACAATGGTTCAATGTCTTAACCAGTGATAGTGAATGTTAACAATCCCCTTAGCTCGGTTTGGAAGAAGTATAAATACAAATATGTGGAGTGCAAAACCTTGCATTTTGTATGTATTTGCACTCTACACATTTGCATTTGTACTCCTTCCAAACTGAGCTTAAATGATCCAAAAACAGCAGCAGCGCCAACCAGTTTCTAGGGCTGTCAAAGGAAGGATATTGGTCCAACCCGATCTGGTCCAGTATGGCCCGGGTCCAAGTCAATCCAACAAACATTTTGGACCAACCCAGTTCAATGTCTGAACCTTACAATCTGTTCAAATAGGTTTCAATCTAGATTAGGTCCAACCCAAACCTAGTCCATTGAAAACTGTACTCTCATATCATATCAACGCACCAGATATTAGTTTGATTGGTCCAATTCAATATGGCTTATCAGTCCATCCAATTAATTCAATTTGATTTTGATTCAATGGAATCCAACCCAAATCCGGTCCATTGACACCCCTACCAGTTCCCTTGTAAAAAAACTAACAATCAAAACCCAAATCCAACCCAAATCCGGTCCATTGACACCTCAAGCACGAGGCACCCCATTTGGTTTTCCCTCCTTGAGGTTGAACCGTTGAGGTATTCAGTTCATACAGTAAAAGTGTAAAACGTGAGAATTTTCCCGAATCAATTGAACATCGATGCTCTTCGGAACCTTGTCAAAGGCTCCTAGTGAAACCTCAAGGCTATAAGGGCACCCACTTCTACGAACAGTTACTTCATTGAATCCCTTAAATCCTCCTTTTTCTATGTCAAAATGAACTTCAACACCTGTATATTCATTTGACACATGGCAAGTTTTAATGCAATTTAAATAGTAGCAAGTCCCTGATTCTTGTCTGAAGCCTCCGAAGATCGATCAATACAGTTCCCAGAGAACCTAGATTGAGCTCATACTAAGTACAGATAGCAAAACGAAGAGAATTTTTTCCTTTGTCGTGATGTGATCAACTGCGAGAAGAATTAGGGTTCGATTAGGTTATATCAAATTTCAGCAACAAATTGTCATACAACCGATCCCACCGTTTCATGGCATTTTACGAGACTTGGGAGTGAACAAAAAGGGTAGACGAGCACCGATTACATCATGAGCTCTTAACAAGACAAAGAATTTATTTAAAAAAACAAAAAAAAGGTTGATTAGAAAGATCTTAACTCTCGAGTCTCAACACATCTAAAACAACAGGTGTATGTATGTACATGCTACATAGTAGACCAATAACATACCTTGGTATACATTAACAAAATTTTAGCCAATCAAAAATATTGGCGTTTTTCAAATTAAAATTTTGACAAATAATTTAATTAAGGAGAAACAAAATTTAGTACTCTTTTTTTGAGTAAACAAGACTTAGATCTTAGAATAACATTAACACTCGGCAACAGCTTTTGGTTCAGGCGGATCCCTGGGCAGCTTTGGCCTTCCTTTCCTTCAACTTGTTAACATTCTCACGTTTGCGTTCTTTGTTTATCTGAAATAGAAGAAAAATTCGGCCATTACTTCATTAGTGCTACGTGTGTCACAAAAATCATCATTTCTTTTCAGAAAATCGCAATGGTGGTAATTTGCCCATGGCATAAAAAGTTTAGCATATTGCACAAAAAAAATAAATAAACAAATAAATAGATACAAATGGCATGTTTACTATAAAATGCCCATACTTCCCTTGACCTCACGTCCAGGCCATGGAAATTAAATCAGAATATTTATCATCTTATTGTTTTATTTTTAGGTATACACGTGCATGGAAAAGTTATCCCATTGCATTAACCATTTAAGAGGTGTTCTTTTTTCGGATCTTGAGAGGGGGGAAAGTTGGTCAAGGGATTTTGGTTCTCATTGACCAAAAATCCCATGGGGACCAGGAAAAGTTTATTTTCCTGGTACCCATCTCCTAGGTGGGTAAATAACTTTCCCACCTAGGGGGAAAGTTCACAACACTTGAATGGGACAAAACTGCCCCTTTTAATAATAGATTTTTATGGCTAAAATGGTCATTGCCTTATTTACATGAGAAATAAAAGAACATGGGTAAATACACTTACCCGGGTAAATGTTTCCCAGGAAAAGCGAACAGGGCCTTAAACATTGTCCATTACCCATGTCGATCATGGCTACTGTGCGGCTCTTTGGAGCGATGGACTGCATACAGATTTACCTTTGGCATTTTTGCACAAAGTGGCTTTCATACCCAAGTCCCACACTCGAATTTTCATGCTTGTCATCCCAAGATTTCACCATTGCACAAGCATGTACCATCCATCTAGGATCAATTCCTGCCCTTACTAACCTTACCCTAACTCTCCCAATTTGCTTAGCTAAAACAAAGTGATGATGCAGTTTTTTTTTTCTTTTTATCTGATGAAAGATAAGGATGTGATGGAGTTTGCAATTTGATAGGAATTTCTCCTCGTTAAAAGAAAGTTGATTGCTGGGGAAAAAAATAAACTTACTTGCATCGCTTCATAAAGCTTCCTCTTCTTCCGTGACATCACAACCATGGACATGCTACTGCTGCTATCCTTGGCAATTTGATCTGGATCTGGAAGAGACTCTTCCCTACCCTCGGTATCATTAACAGCACTCTCTGTATTGTCATTTGAAACAGAGGAAGAATAAGGAACCCCTTGAAGTTCCATTTTCAATTCGTTGTGGTACTGCTTCTCAAGCATTGCCATCTGCAAACACCACCTAGAATTAGAACTTAAACCAACTGCTGAAGCCTATTAATTCTGCTTTACCCAAAACAAAAACCAACAAGCAAAGAGAAGAATAAAATCTTATCAAGAAGCTAAAAAGTCCAGGTTGGTCTATGTTGAGAGATGAACTGGCTCTATCACTGTTCCTATCTTGTTCTGATAGTCTGTGATACGACAAACATCCAGTTATAATTGTCTCTCACTGTAGTGTTTAACATTATTATTATTATTATTATTATTATTAATAAAAGAAGAGAATAAGGTCTTTAACCTATTCTCACAATTTCTCCCAGATAGAACTCTCCCCACTGTATCAAAGCTTCTCCATTTTTCACCCCTTCTCTAATAGTATACTCATTAAAACTATTATCTATAATTAAATAACCATAAAAGGAGAAAAAAAAAACAAAGCATGAGAAATAGATTAAGATTCACTCTTTTGTTTTAATTTCTAAACCAACAAATTGAAACAAAACCAAGAGACAACCAAGTTCAATTAGCCAACAAAAACTTCACCCAAGAAGTAAAGAAAAAGGTGCACATACCTTCCGCTTCTTTTCAGCTGCTTCATTAGCTTCAGCACGACTTATGACACCTTCAAGTAATAGATTCTGAGGATCATCAAGATCTCGTTTATCTACACCAGGCATTGGAAGGAGTTCTTTTCTTGCAGCAGCTTGTAAGCGTTTAATTGTTTCTGCATATTCAGGAATATAGCCTTCAGCCTCATTATCAACAAATGGTGACAAGTGTGGTGGAGGAACCCTGTGAAATCAGCAAATGACATTATGGAATACAGTCAATCACCTTTGTTATCCATCAAGATTCAAGATTTCAATATATCGGGTGTATCATTACATCAGTGACTCATTGATATGCCCTTTTAAGGCATTTCCAAAAACTAGTATTTTTAAATTGTTAATTAAATGCCATTAAAAAAGGCCCCTGTGAAAATCTCAACCAATATATATGTTTGTATTAAAACATGTGTTTGATAGTATTAAAACAACCAATACTTTGAACCTTGTTATCCATTAACAAGGGGTGACATAAAATGATCATGTGTTAATTTCTGCATATACTTTTCATTAACAGGAACGAAGAAAAGGAATTTATGAAGTGAAGCCAGTATATTGGTACTTGTAACGTAACTTATTAAAAGGTAATCTAGTATTAGATACTTTTTGTTGAACACCACATCTCAGAGGGCAACTGACTGAATGTAGGCTTATATTATGACATAACATTGCGAACATTTAGCCAACTTTATCCCTAAAACCACTCATTTAGAAATGACTTGTTCACTCTTTTGTAAAATTCAACTTTACTAGGAAAAATATTAGAAGTTGGGAAAAAAAACTACGACAACAAAAGAAACCAAATCTAAATTACTTTCCCAACCTGAGACATAGCATATGTTGTAGAAAACCCTGGATAAAGATCTTCCACAGTCCCAGCACTGCCATAGTCAACAGCATTCAAGGATATAGGTACATAGAAAATAAATCATCTTTTACATCAACTGCTTCAATGAAACCCAAGAAGCTACTTCATAAAGTTGCAAAAAAGTATTGCATGTTCCCTTAAGAAGAAATTTATGTTTCAAAGTCCCTCACATAGCAAATATATTAGAACTTCCTTTTCTATCAAATGAAGCTTACCAGCACAGCACTAGTACAGAAACAAAACTAATTAACTGAAAGGAAACTGTTGAATTTCTTATTTTTCTATATATACCTTCCCACTAAATAACCATCTACTGGTAAGATAATCCGAGCATTTGCACAATCATAGACCCATTGTGGCTGGACATATTCTCTGGAGAGGAACTTATGACCCTGAGTTGGCCTATCAACAATCTGCACAAATAAAAGTAGCAAGTCAAAAGAAAGATCCTTGATATGTGTCAGCAATTATTAACAAGGTTTGAAGTATCACCACAATACGCCCAATAAGGGGCATATCATATCATATCTTTTAGTGCCGATACACCTGTTTTTACAGGTGTTTTCAGGAACTCCTTTTTTATTAAATAATATATATAATTATAGTTAAAACTGAAATTTGAAAAAAAAATTAAAAAAACAAACAAAAGGCACATCAGTTGAAGTACGATACACCTCTGCCAATACATAGAGGCGTATCGATACTTTGAACCATGATTAGTAATAGTAATGCCACACAGAAGAAAGATTTTAATTGGGAGAACATTTTCTTTCTTACTTTCTGTAGAGTAGATGAGCCGAATGGCCCATAACCCACAGTTGTTACTTACCTTTATTTTTTCTGTTCTTTTTGTTAATGGGCCTTCTCTTATGGGCCAGTTAAACTCTTTTTTATTTTGTTTAATTAGCTGGCTGCCCAATTAAAGGCCTACTTGTAATTTCAGAAATTAGTGATTAATTCTTAATGAAAAGATTAGGGGAAGGAGGAGCTGTACGAACAAGACTGCTCTTCACCCTTCTCACAACCGAACTCCTCTTTTTCTTCTTCTTCTTGCTGCTGCTATCTCCTACGATTTATTCCTTCTTTTTAATCAATTCTCTTATTCTTTGGGACTGTTTTTCTTCTTGGTATCAAAGCAGGCCCCTTTTTTCTTTCTGTACACAGTGTGTATGGAGAGCTGAATCAAATGACTGATTGAAGAAAAGATATTCAGCCCAGTTGGTAGTGGTTTCTTGGAGACAAAAGGGAAAGGATATCCCCCTCCTTTTAACAGTTTTTGGTTTTGCCCAAAAACACTAATCAACTGGAGAGTTCAGATTATGGGTCCCACAGGAAGCTTCACCTTGGTGCTCAATGACTGAAGGGACTCTTTTTTACTACCTTGAAGATGGATCCAAGCTTCGCACAATTCTGTGAACTCTACAGGGAGCGGCTACTTTTTTTCTATTCCTCTCAGGTTCCGGGTGAGACGCAGTTGGCTGTTAGGGATCTGTGAAGGTTGGTACTTGGTGTTTGTTATTTCCCGTCTTCTTTATTTGTCATCTGAAATTGTTTTAATAGTTGTTTGAGGAAGATGGATGCTTCTGGAATTGAAAATAAGATGGGCTCAGAGTCCGGACATGTTCCAGGAGCACCTGTAGACTCTTTATTGGCTGTGACCACGGTCAAGCTTGATGGGACTAACTATCTAGCATGCTCACAATCATTAAAGATGCATGTTTGTAGTAGAGGCAAGTGAGGATATATTTCAAGAAGCAAGAAAGCATCAAATGAAGATGACTCATCTTATGAAAAAAGGCTACAAGAGAATTACACAGTTATTGGGTGGTTAGTGAATTCAATGCAACATCAAATTAGTCATCACTATTTGTGGATGAATTCTACTAAGGAAATATGGGATAGTGTTGCTAAAACCTATTCACAAAAACTGAATGTAGCCAGGGATTATAAGTTAAGAAGTGATGTGAACAATCCAAGGCAGGGGGAGAAACTTATAGCAGTTTACTTCTCAATGCTGAAATCCTTGTGGCAAGAAATAGATCTCACGGAAACAATTGTCTAGGAAAGTACAAATTATGCAGAGACAAAGAAAATTAGTTGAGAGGAATAGGGTTTTCGAATTTCTGACATGGTTGAATCCAAAATGTGATATTATCAGACAGAACATCCTAGCTAAAGACAATGTATCTTTGTCTTAGACTAATGCCATGGTGAGTAGTGAGGAGAGCAGGAGGATGGTTCAGGTTCAAGGGACTATTCCGGTTGACCATTTTGCTAATATAGGGTTGAAACCTAAGATGACTACAAGTGGTTCAGGGAAGGAGGTTATATGTGAATACTGTAAGAAACCAAGACAAACAAAGGATAAATGTTGGAAGCTACATCCAGACCTTCCACCCTTTTTCAAAAGAAGGTCGAAAATGGGAAGACAGGGAGTGCCCATACTGCCACAGTGTCAGATAATGACAAGAGTGCCACAGATGAGAAAGCTACTAGTGAGCAGTTAGCTATTATGAAGGTGGAGTATATGAAATATGGGAGGATGATCAGCCACCTTGATAGTGCAGCCACCTCCTCCAACTCTTCAGGCAATCCAACTACTTCTGCATTTGCTCATTCAAGTATACGTGCTACTGCCAACCATGCAACCATCTCAGGTAATCGTAGGATCCCTTGGATTATTGATTCAGGTGCTTCTAATCATATGACCAGCATTTCTACCATGTTTAGCTCTTATGACTTACTTTCTAGCCATGATAAGATTACCCTAGCCGATGGCTCTCTTGCTCCTATCTCTGGCAAGGGAGCCATCAAGGCCACAGACACCCTTTCCCTTACTCTTGTCCTTCATGTCCCTAAACTACATACTAATATGATGTTAAGAAGTAGCCTAACTAAATCCTTAAACTACGGTTTACCCTTTTTCCCTTCTTATTGTGCTTTTCAAGACCTAAAGTCTCAAAAAGTGATTGGGAGTGGCCATGAAGCGAATGGAATATATCTGCTAGATACTCCTGGACAAAGCCAATGACAGCCTAAAAGAGTTGCTTTTGGATCTACTTCTTCAGAGTCCTTTAGTTGTATCATATTATGTCATTTTCATTTGAGCCATTTATCCTTTTCTGCTTTGTGTCATTTATTCCCAGAGTTGTTTAAGGGAATTAACTTGTCTAGTCTTCATTGTGAGTCATGTGAGTTATCAAAACATTGTAGAAGCATTATCCTTTAAGTAATAAGAGATCCAATGTTCCTTTTCATATTTGCACTCTGATGTGTGGAGATCATACCACTTACCTTCTATGGGTGGTTATCGATACTTTATCTTGTTCATTGACGATTTTTCTCGGTATACTTAGTTATTTTTTATGAGATCTTGTGACGAAGTTCCAAAGCTTGTAAGACAATTTCATGAATTTGTTCTAACCCATTTTGATACGAGAAAAAAGACATTTAGGTCTAATAATGCAAAAGAATACTTTGAGAAAAACCTAACCTCTTATCTCACTGGTTTTGGGGTCATCCACCAAAGCTCTTGTGTTCGTCCCATAGTTGAAGTTGCAAGAAGCATTTTGTTTGCCTCACATGTTCCTACAAAGTTCTGGGGGGATGTTGTTCTCACTGCAAAATACCTAATCAATCGTATGCCATCCAAAGTTTTGGGCTTTAAGTCTCCTTTTAATCTTCTTTATCCAGATAAGGACCTTTTTCCCTTCCCCTTCGTATCTTTGGTTGTACTTGCTATATACACATTTCTAGTACCCAGAAACATAAATTTGAACCAAAGGCCCATAAGTCCATTTTTCTTGGTTATGCCTCTACACAAAAAGATTATTGTTGTTTTGATCCTAGTAGTGGGACTCATTATGTCTCAATTGATGTCACTTTTGCCGAGTCCACTCCTTTCTATGGTTCATCTCAGGGGAGCATCATTCTCATTGGGAGTATTTATCACAGTTGTTTGCACTCCCCCTTCCTCTTCCTGTTGGGTCTTCTTCCGTTGAGTCCAGGGAGGAACAATCATCTTTGGGTCCCTTCATTATTCTTGTTCCTCCTCTATTGCCTCCTCGTCGTCTTTCTACTCACAGGTGGTACCAACGGAAAAAGACCAAGAGTGAGCAGCTTGTTTCCTCTACACTACATGAGCCTCCTACACTTTCAATTACTGAAGAGACAAGTACTGAGGTCACACCCTTGCAGCCTCCCTTCTCAAAACCTTGATGTCCCAATTGCCACAAGGAAAGGTAAACAAAAGTGTATTGCACATTGCATTTCTAAACATCTTTCCTATGGCTTTCTTTCTCCTTCATATTATTCCTTTCTTTCCCCTGTTGCTTCTAACCCTAAACCCAGGTCTGTATTAGAAGCTATCTCTATTCCAGAATGGAGGGATGCTATGAGAACCGAGATAGAGGCTCTGAATAAGAACGACACATGGGAATTGGTTGATTTGCCTAAAAAGAAGGAGCCAGTGGGTTGTAAATGGGTGTACACCATCAAATATCATGTTAATGGCTCTATTGAGAGATACAAAGCTCGATTGGTTGCAAAAGGCTACACACAACCTTATGAATTGACTACCTAGAGACTTTTGCTCCTGTTACGAAGATGACCTCTGTGAGGGACCTGCTATCTTTGGCAACTCATTCAGACTAGCCCCTCTATTATTAGTTAAATGTAAAAAATGCCTTCTTGAATGAAGAATTACATGAGGTTTATGTCTCTCCCTCCAGGGATGTATGGCTCAGACATGGAAGATAAGGTGTGGAAGCTAAAGCCTCTCTATGGGCTCAAACAGTCACCTAGAGCCTGGTTTGAAAGGTTTAGGGCTGCTCTTATTAAATTTGGTTACACACAAACTCAACCTAACCATATCCTCTTTGTGAAGAGGAAAGGTTCGTTGGTGGTATATCTTATAGTCTTTTTTATCGATAGTATATCTTATAGTCTATGTGGATGACATTGTAGTGACTGGCACAACTTTGACAAGGATTGATGACCTTAAAGTCTTCCTTCACACAGAGTTTGAGATCAAAAATCTGGGGGAATTGAGGTATTTCCTAGGTATTGAAGTGGCTCGGTTTAAAGATGGAATCTTCATTTTCTCAACATAAGTATGTGCTAAACTTGCTCACTGAAACAAGTAAAATGGGTGCAAGACCAGTAGCTACACCTATTGATATGAGTCACAAACTTTCTACCTCTAATGGAGAACTATTAGATGATAAGAGAGTGTTTCAAAGGTTATTAGGGAAACTGCTATATCTTTGTATGACTCATCCTAATAGTGCATATATTGTTAGCTACATTAGTCAATTCATGCATGCTCCCAAAGACACATATAGCAGTAGCAGAGAGGATTTTCTATTACTTGAAGAGCACTCCAGGGAAGGGTATTCTTTTTGCTAAACATGGTCATATGAAACTGGAGGTCTATACAGATGTTGATTGGGTAGGCAACATTAATGATAGGAGGTCAACTTCGGGATACTGTGGCAGGCATTATTGTTTCTTGGAGAAGCAAGAAACAATCTGTGATTGCTAAATCTTCAGCTGAGGCAGAGTACAAAACTATGGTTCATGGAGTTTCTGAGTTACTTTGGCTTCCACCCCTGATGAAGGAATTAGGTGTTGAGCATGACACACCTCTGATGTTGTATTGTGATAATCAAGCTACCATCAACTTTGCCCATAATCCTGTGCAACACGATAGAACTAAACACATTAAAGTTGATAGGCATTTCATCAAAGAAAGAGTGACTTCTGGAGAAGTTTGTTTACCCTTTCATTGCATATAAAGAACAGTTAGCTAACATTCTTACCAAAGGAGTCTCCAAGGCCAAGCTACAACATGATAAAGGCAAGTTGGGCATGATTGACATCTATGCTCAGCTTGAGGGGGAGTCTCCAACTTTTTTATTTTGTTTATTTAGTTGGCCGCCCAAATAAGGGCCTACTTGTAATAAATTAGTGATTAATTCTTAATGAAAAGATTAGGGGAAGGAGGAGTTGTACAAACAAGACTTCTTCTTCTTTGGGACTTTTTATTCTCTTTCTTAGTTTTTTTTCCTTTAGTGCTAAAACAGGGTCTCCACCCTAGAGTATTGTAATTGACCTTTCAGCACTAACTTTGTTTTAGTGTATTCATATAGTTTGGAATTTGTTAGTAACAAGGACTTGTTTGCTAACCCATCAGGCTCAATAAAGTAGTTGCTTATACTACCATATGAATGACATTTGTTTATATACTTCAATTTAGTACCACATGAATGAATCAACACTACTAGTCTAAGTAGGTATGGGTATAAACTATAAATGTAGCTTTGATGATATTTATTGTTTTCCAAAATACATCAACTAGGTGACACCTAGTCCTAGGTGGATGCCTAGGCAATTAGGTGCTCCCCATTCAAAAATTGATACTTATAGTATGATATGCACTTGGTTGTCAAGGCACCAAGGGGGCTCTAGATGTTTAATAGGTAGTAAATTTCTACATGGTACCATGAAATACTTTTGGGAAAATCAATGATACTGGAAAGGCATGGTACCATAAGAGCTTTGACCAATCATAGCACCCCCCCTGTGAATTTTGATGAGTATCACTTGATTGGTGACCTCTTTTATGATACCGGTTGATTGGCTGTAAATTTTTCCAGTACCATGTCTTTCCCATATCAAAGTCAAACCCAATATAAACTAAAATGTTCTCCCTTTGTGGGTTTATATACTAGTTAATTTTTATTATTTTCTTGTTTGTCAAGGTTCAATCAGCATACATGTTGTATGCTGTCTCGAACCCTCAAAGACTTCAACACATTCCTAATACAGAAAAAGGGGATTAGCCCCCATATTTTCTGAATTTTCTTTTCTTTCTTCTTTTTCTTCTCATGAATATGTTGATTTTCTATAATTCAATGAGGTTTATACTTTTTATGAAAATTATAGATAATTATTAATGAAAGATGGTTGCCAGATGCTATGAAACCTAGGGAACTACCATATGATTCATGATTTTATTTATGAAAAAAGCATTGCTTAGACTACGAGGCAACAAGGCGCTCCCCTATCACCTAGCCTTACCATGGTGCCTTCAAAATTATGACAGAGATAGTAAATTGTATTGTATGATCCAGTATCAGCTCTGAGATTCTAATGCTTGCTTACTCAAAATAAGTCCATGAATCAATCTTATGGTGTCCATTTATAAACAAATTCAATCCTTTTCTAGTAATCCCACAAAAAATTAAATGAAATCACACCTATTATCTATGCTTTAATAGAATGAAAAAAAAATAAAGCAACCAAACAGGTGAACTCAAAAAATAAAATAAAATAAAAGCATGAAGAAACAAAATATGTAATATGTAAGACTGTAAGGCAAATAAGGATGCTCAATAGCATCCAATGTGCAAATACATCCTCCAGCTCTACCATATATGAAATAATAAAAGCATCAAAAGAAAGAAATTGCAATCCAAAAAGTACAAACCATGCACCAATGCTATCAAGACTCAGACTGGATACAAGTGTTTTTGGTCATTGAATCACAAGTCAAATGGCCCAACCAATTGATTCACCCAAAGAAATTGAAAAAAATTAAAAAATAAATAAAACAAATAGTTCCAGCCTATTTTAATGTTATTTTATATCAAAAACATTGATCAAATCAATATGTCTAAGAACCATGCAGTGTAAAAACATTTTGACTATCGATTTATGGTTCTGATGGTCCTACCATCCAGTTCAGTCTATCATTAGAACCTGCCTTGAAGACATAAAATATCTAAACAACATGTTTTCTGACTAGTAAAAATCATAGTTGTCAGGGCGCCTAGGCAACGTCTTGGGGACAAGCCGCCATTGGAGACTCGCATCGCCAGTCGCCAAGTAGTTTTGTGCACTATGTTATAAAATAGGCATTATTAAACTAGAATACTCATTTTATGTGTTTATGTACTAATTTCTTTTTATTATTTTCTTATTTTTTTAGGGTTTAATCAACACAAACATTACTAACTGCTGTATTGAACCCATGGTTCAAAGTACCGATACACCTCTATGTATCAGTACTTATACCAATACTCCCCCTATTTTTATTTCTTTGGTTTTCAATTTCATTTTTAAATAAATATATAGATATATATATATGGTATAAATATATACCTCTCTTATGAAAATTATGTATAATTATTAAGGAAAGATGGTTATGGAACCAAGAGAACTACCCTAGGATATATGGTTTTACTTAAAAAAAAAAACATCACCTAGACGACCCCCCCCTGGTGCCTAGCCTTGCCTTGGTGCCTTAAAAACTATGGTATAAATGACAAGATTATACAACGGATGAAGATGTCACCCTATAAATAAAAGTAATTACTGTGACTAGACATAGTTTGAAGGCCAATGTTACATTTCTTGAAGATAGTCGATAACATAAATGGTTAGACAGAACTAGTAGAAATAATCAAGGGCAAAGATCCATTATCCAAAGCTACTGAGGTTCATCCTTGACACTTCCAACATATATGAGTTAACTGAGGCCTATCAACTGCCAAGTTTGCAATTGGACAGCCCTGCATAAAGACTTCACAAGAGTGGTAATCAACTTTATTATTATGCATAAAGGAACAGAACTGAAATAGCTTAAGTTATTTTCCACAGTTAACATCAAGAAATAGAAAAAGGTCACAAAAAAAGCATGGAACAAATTGATGATCTAAAACCCCATAGGAAATTTGAAACAAGAATAAAGCAATACAACAAAATTATTAGATTTGCATTTGTACTCATCAAAAAAGGCATTGAAAGAATAATATGGATTACTGCATTAGCTAAATCAATTAGTTAATAACAAGTGTTTTTTCATATTGACATATGTAGCTTCCATATTTGTATATAAACAAAAATGTGTGTATGGAGACGTAAAGAACAGACCTGATGAGTAATTCCCTCATCAGCTTCTTTAAATGGAGCCCCATCTCCGTCCCAAGAAACCGTACCTCCAAAAGCTGGAATAACAAACAGCAGCGACTCTCTTGGAACCTAGACATAAATAAGACAGGATATCAAAACCAACAGTTAGGATAACCAGAATAATTTGTATAATGAAAAAGAAATTATTAAAATTGCATGCATCATATACCAAGCATGCAAAAAGACAAGAAAGTAGTGCTTGCAAGTGTGTTATCAACATGCTAAAAACATGACACAGCACTATCATGAGTGTTCTCAGTGTTTCCACCATTAAAATATTGATTGTTCAACAATTATGATAGGATTTTCAAGGTCTAATAATGCATTGCTGCAGATTTCACTCCCTTCAGTAAATGAAACCCATTGTTTCTGGATTTGTGTTATAAATTTCCCTTTGTTGAAGCGGTTACAGATGAATATCAGAACAAAGAAACAAAGCTGCAAGTGTCCTACTATTGAATAAGATATAGGTGATTATCCAATTAAGGAGAGAAACAAAGAATATAAGCAGATGGATATAAAGAAAGAGAATAAACATATCAAATAGTTTATAGCCCCAGATTAAGTAATCCCCAAACAAGACTTTCCCTTATAGCCCCTGCTTTTGCTAAGGTGTCAGCCAAAACATTTGCATTCCTAGGCACCCACTTGGATGAGCTATTCAACTAAAAGGTGACTCCATGGGATTTCCCTGTTTCCCTCATCCAAGAGATTACTATTTGGCAATTCCCTACAACAAAATCTTAGTCTACCCCAGCCTAGTTATCAAATTTAGGCCTTGATTCAGTGCCAGCAGCACTGCCCTTAAAGAGTTACCTTGCCAAAGTGGGCCTGAGAAACTAAGGAGAATATTTCCATTGGTCTCCTTAAACTCCTGATGCTCTTGGATTACCAAGTCTAAACCCATCAAAATTGAATTTTAACATATCCCAATCAGATGTTCTCCAGTCCCAAGTTATCTGTTTATATCTGACTTGGCCAAAATTTGCCAGCCTCTAAGTAGGTCATCCATTGTTGTGACCCCTTTAAATTGCTCACTCACCAAAGACCAATGTGCAATTCTAACCATTATGAGATCTATCAATGGGCTGATCCAAGTGTTTTATCTTCACAGATTCTCACATTTCTCTACCCCCACAATCCCCATTAAACTGAAATGCTCGTTTCTGACTAGAACCTTTCAAGTCTTGCCATAAATCCATCACAACATCCTCGTCTCAGCTAAGTATTTTTTTACATGTTTCTTGATTGCCCAAGCACTCGGTAAATATATAACAAAGCTGATCTTATAATTGTATTACAGAATTTACCTTTTAGCCTCATTCATATATGCTAGACACTCAGTGACAGCACAAATAGTTGCAGCTCTCCAGTTCAACCTCTTGCCCCAACTCTATAGGCAACACCCTCTTTAATTTCTCTCCATGTGGAAGATTGATCCAAGTTACCAGAAGTCCAACAATGGTTAGCTTGAGGTATCTTCTAATCATCAGTCTTAATTGCAGTACGACTCTTACGTTTTTTTACTAACACTGCAAAACATGTATTTTGTCTTAGTCCAACTTATCTTGAAACTTTCTGGTTCTAAAGCAATACCCCATTGTAATATCTTTGCATTCAACCCACCTTTAGTCTTGTCAACCAGTGCTATATTATCAGCAAACAAAAACCAAGTAAATGTCTAGTTAGGTCATTCTTTACACAAAAGATACAAAGTAAGTGCTGACCCTTGGTGTCAACCCATTGTGATTGGAAATTTCAACTACACAAGAAAAGGGAAAAAAAACAACTCAATAGCAAATTATAGAGAATGCACCACTATATGTTAGCATGCATTATAAAAAATATACATGTATCAGCACACAATAGATTTACATGATAAATAAATGCGCTTTTTAGCAGAAGGGATCCCTTTTCCCAGCGCTATATGAGAGGGTGGTATTTAGAGGTTTAGGGTACAAAGGAAAAGGAAAATAGTGCACATTTGCAATTTTCTGCTAACATTAATATTGGGTAAATACCACGATGTGGAGAGTATTAAAAAATTAAGATAATTCTAAAAATAGTGGATAGAGTGTTGGTGGGAGAATCAACCACTATAAATACAGAGGTGATTAGATGTCCAAGTATTTTAAATTGTGAAATAGATGATAGCCCCTTACATATTTAAGTCTCCTCTTAGGATGAAACGTAAAAGAGACTTCTTTTGCTGAACATCATGGGGGAACACTTCTATAAAAAATGAGTCCAGCATTTATTAGAGCACGCTGCATACGTGCACCGTTCGCACAAAAGGACGTGTCACGTGTCCTTAGCTTCGTGAGCCCATTTAAAGCGTGCATGTAAGAGGAAACGGCATCTACTATCAACGTCATTAGGTTCTATTTGAAAACCTGTTCACTCTCACTCTTTGCCGCCTCGCACCGAACCCTGTTCACTCTCATTCTCTCCCTCTCCAACCGGCAGCAACCAACAATCATCATTGGCGATTATTAACACTGGCGACCGGAGGAAAAGTTCAAGTATTGATTTTTTTTTTCATTTTTTCTTCCCCAAATAGTGCATCAGGTATCGCATTTCCTTCCTTTTATTTTCCCCAAAACCTAATCGTAATTTCATCTTCTCTATGCGGCAACCGACAACCGGCGACAATCAAGTATTGCACTTCCTTCCTTTTGTTTTCATGGCAAAGATGCATTGTTTGGGGAAGAAAAAATGAAAAAAAAAATCAATACCTGAGCTTTTCCTCCAGTCACCAATTTTAACAATTACCAATAATGGTTGTTAATCACCACTGGTTGGAGAGGGAGAGTGAACAAGGTTTGGTGTGAGGCAGCAAACAATGAGTGAACAGGTTTTCAAATAGTCTTAACAGCAATCACACATGTTTTAAGCGGGCACACAAAGATAAGGACGTGTGGCGCATCCTCCTTTTGTGCGAATGGTGCACGTATGCAACGTGCCCTGATAGAAGCAGTGATTTAAAAGGCGTGCCTAGGTGCATAGGCAAGGCGCATTTTAGGGTAGGCGTCTCACCCAAGTCCTAGGCGCAGCCCTTTCAAAAGGTGTGCGCCTGGTGCACCTTGCGCCTTAGCCCAGGTGTGTGCCATTTGAAAATTTGACGCTTTTTTGCTTTTGTGTCTAGCTTCGAGAACCCCCTATTTGGTAACGTTGTTCATTCATTCATTCTAATAAAATATCTTCTTAAAAAGCAATTAAAACTATAAAATCATTATTTTTTGTGTGAACTCTAAGAATCTAAGACCTAACATGGAGTTGTTTGAGCTTGCTTCGAGGAGCGTGGCACAAAGGCGACTCGTAGAATCATGAATGTAATATGTTTTACATCACACTAGCTACTTGAAGTAATGCAATTGAGAAAAAAAAAAGAAAAAAGAGAGTGGTTTTACATGCTTGAAAACATTTCATATGTTTGATTTTATTTTTAAATTCTCATTTGAATATGCTTTACATGTTATGTTCATGTATTTTAATTTTAGATAATAGGTTTTCTAAAAGATTTATTTTAAATTTTAAGTTTATATTTTTATTAATACTTTTTTTTGCATTTTTTAATTGTTTTGACATTTTTTATTTTTTGAGCCTTGCGGAAAAAGGTGCACGCCTCACCCTATGCCTTGCGCTTTTAAAACACAGGATAGAATCCAGACTGGCTACAAGGAAAAGAATTAATATATCCTTCGGCCCAATTTAGGAAGAGCATAAATACAAATACGTATAGTGCAAAACCTTGTATACAGTATTTCCAAGCCTTGTATTTCCTTAAGTGAGCCTAGAGATGCAAAACAGGCCATGTTGGGCTAACACGGCACGGCCCGCGTGTGGGGGCCGTTCCTCCCTCCCCTGTGATATTTTAGGGGGTCAGCCCGGCACGACACACATCTGGGCTGGTCCGTGGGCGAAGCCTTAGGCTAGGCAAGGCTAGGGACCAGACCAAAGCTATTTATTTAAAAAATATGAAAATAAACCTTAAAATTTTATTTTATATGAAAGCATTTGTTTATATATACAATAATTAAATAAAATAGTATAATAAAATTGAAATCAATTGTTTATTTTATTAATATATTATATACTATATATTATTATATAATTATAGTTTATATAATATACTATATATTACATATATTATATATAAATATATAAAATATATAAATATATTATATAATATGTAAATATATAAACATATATGGGCCATGCTAGGTCGTGCCATAGGCCAAGCCAAGCTAGCCCACGGACCTGAAACCCCAAGTCCGACACGACCCATACAATCGTGTCATGCTTGGCACAGTCCATGAACCATCATGTCATGCCGGGCCGAGCCGGCTCAAAATCGTGTCAGATCGCGGGCAGCACGACCCAATTTAAACCTCTATGCAAGCCTTAGGAGGTTAGATAAATCCATCTTTACTAACTGGGTAATTTGCTTTCTCATTATCAAGTCTCCAATGGTAGTGATGAAGGGAATTGACATTTATTTTTCATTGAGAATTTCTCTCAAAATTCAAGAGAGATTAAAAAAAAGTCATCTTTTGACCCGAGGTAACGCATGTAGAAGAAAAATGGGTGTGTTCTTAAACTAAGAGGGTACTAAGGGTAAAAATTCAACATTGTTAGGATGATCTCGCGGGAGATTTCCGTTAAGATCCAACAGCGTTGGCACTAAAACATAAAAGGCAAATACAGCATCAAAACAATTGGGAATTAGGATCTGCAAGAAGGATAACCTTGCAGTTCCATCGAAGCTATTCTTTCCTGAGGCACATTAAGGTATAATAATAGCATCTACTCACTATCAAATTTTGGAAAGACAATAAGGTGGGGGTGATAAACCTTTTTATCTCACCTTTCCTAGACTCTACTCTGTTTCTCCACAAGAACATACATATTGCAGAGCTGGTTTCCCCTTTTCAAACTGATATTGAACTTGAGAGGCCAGTTTTAATAGACAGCTAAGGTACCATGAGAACACAAATGTGATGAGTCCTCTATAGAGTGGAGAAAATTCCGATCACTTATTGCACTTTTCCTCATTCACTACAAAGTATATAACTGTTTTCTTCATTGACCCCTGATGAGCTAATAATATAGGGCCTCTTTTCCACTTAATTGAATCCCATGCTTCAAGAGTGGAGACAATACCAATCACCTACTTCTCTCACTCGTTCACCAAAAGATAGGAACAATTTCCTTTCCAGATTTACTCCTTAGATCCCCCCAATTGATAATGTTGAACCTCTTTTCTACATAAATGAATCCCTTACATACAAAATAAGAAATCAATGTGGAATTCTATAAGAAAAGTTGTTTGTGCCTCTATGGAGAATTTGGTGTCAAAAGAATACCAAAATCTTAAAAATGAGGGAAAAATACACATTTTCACATGGCAAGATTTTGAGAATGACATGTTGGTTGATGACAAGAGATAAGTTTGAAGGGCCAAACTGTGATGGATGCTATGTTAAGGGGGTGGCAGATGGCAGCCAGCTTTGCCCCTACTAGGCAACAAGAATTATGGTTAGGACAACTCCAAATACAAGATGGATAAAGCTGAATCTTGATGGATGCTTTGTAGGCAGCCAGGACCATTAGAAATAAGATGAATCAAGAACCTGGATGCACTACTTGCTCAAGGAATAAATTGTAAAGATATGGTGAGGTCAGCTTTGCGCTCATATTTTAGTCATCTTCATTCCACACAAAATGAAATGAAAGGGTTCTATTTTTCTATATATTAACAAAAAACCTTATTGTTGTTGCCGATCAAAAGGACAAACAGATATACTCACCTCTCGACTTAAAAAGAACTTCATGTTTTTGAAGAGAGTCTTACACTCTCTCCTTTCCACATCTTCATCATCATCACCATCAGCAGCATCCTCGATCAGATGCATCAATGTGCCTGGTTCATTGGTAGGAAGCTGATGTTGCAGCTGAGCAAGTCTCAGTTCAGACTCATCAGTCTGCATCTCCTTTCTCTTGCTATCTGCTTGCTCTGATCCAGATGAAGTGACCATTTGAGATTCCCCAATAGTTGCTTTAGAATTGGCAGCAAAAAATCTAGACAAAGCATATAGATCTGCAGAATAATTCATAGATAAATTTTTCATGAGAATCCATTAAAAATAAAATACTACGGCCTACAGTTTATGGTTATCCAAGAGAACATTAACAAATTTACATAAACAAACTATAAGTGAACATTATAACAAATCTACAGTGGATGCAGGGGGGAACATGATGAGACTAGACTAACTGAACCATGCAACGAATACCTGCCGCTAATGCTTCCAATCGAGGATCAAGAATGGGTGGATACTTCACATTTATGGAATGATAAAGTTTGAAGTTGACAAAAGCAAGGAGAGTCTGCAAAACATACAGCCAAAGACATGAATATGCAAATATAATGGGTAAAATGTGATCATGGAACCATGCGATGTGTATTTAGAAAATTAACCCAACCTATAGGCAGTTACAAGCATAAAAATAAAAAATAAAAAATAAAAAAAGCATGAAATTCAATGGACATAGTGGCATATAGATACCAGAATTTTTAAATCCATTAACTATTTTTCTACTTCAATTAACAAGCAACTGAATGAGATTGATTACAAGCAAACAGGATTGGATGATGATGATGGTGAATTAACAAGCAACTGAAGGGACATTGTTATGCCCATAGCAACAGCCTCACCAGCTTAAGCCACATTACTTTACTCAAGCACAAATGATGTAATGCAACTGCTTTTAGCCTCTAAAAGAATAACAATGGCACAACATAATGAAGTAGATTTGGCTAAATATATTAAGTAAATCCGGGCATGAAAGCAACTAGCATGCAGGGGGAGACAAATTACAAATGACAAATGTAAAACAAGTGGCCTTGAATATGAAGAATAACCTCATAGAACTCCAAAAAGGTTAGCATGACATTGAAGTCAACATCATCTGTTAAAACTTGCTGCAGAGCATGTGGAGTTAACCATGTGATCTTTTGCCCTTCAACCTCAGCCTGTATGAGTCAAAATCATCAAATGACAATCGTGATGACATCTACTCAAACTGGTACTCCCAACACCTTTAAATGTATTATGTTCTTAAATTGTAAAAAAAATAGCACGCCCAATTTACCTGATAATATATGCCTTTAACAGATATGAAGGTCTTCCGTAGGCTGTGTGTTCGAGAAATATATGCTTGCCATTCATGGCTCAACCTAATTAGAAAAAAAAAAGGAACAAAAGAGATCATAAAAATTCGCAAACAAATCAATAAGAGAGGTCATCGAACAAACCCAGTCTGAAAATAGTAATGTATGGCTTAAATAGACAATAAATTTGCACACACAATATCCAGAAAATTAGTTTGAAACTACCCCACTAAATATAATTCTCAATCGAAGCTAAAAAAAAAATGAAGTAGACCTTCGGCAGTTGTGAATACGCTTAACCGGAATTTGTTCCTTCTCAATAGCAGGTAATGCTGCAAATAGGTGCACCATCGTAAGGCAATCATCCAAATCCCTGAGCGCGTCAATGAATTTCGGGTACCTGAGTCACAGCATACAACCCACAACAGGAAGGACATTAGTTGCCAAAAACGGCATGTTAAGGACACAAGCATAAACCTATCGAGGGTAAAGGACACAAACCTTTCTCGTATAAGCCTATCGAGGGTATAAGAAGGCTTACGCGTCAACAATCGATCAGCGAGGTCCTTGTTCTTCTTTGCCAGAGCCTTCTTTACCCTCTTGTCGTAGGCCCTGATATCTCTGAACTTCTCGAGTAATGGTTCGTGTACGAGAAACATAATGTCCTTCATATGATAATATGTCTTGTGGTTTCCTTCCACCTTCTTCTTCGGCTCTCGTGGGAAAATACCCTTGAGAATGCATAGTCTCCTGCAATATTTTCCCAAATATTAGCAAATAATCATATGAAATAGCAAGGGAATTTCTTAAGAAATCTTATAAGTTTTAAATTTTCAGAATAAACGTATATCAACCCTTCGCAGAAGTGCTAGAATCGAGTAAGGCATTGCTAGTAGAAACCCAAACTGCTTAAACCCCTAAAACCCTAAGCCCCCTAGTTACAAAGACACCCCTTCGCCATGAAATAATAAGTTAACAAAACGAGATACCTGAAAACAGGTAGAGTGACTTGCAGGTATTTAAGAGCTTTGGATCGGGTGATGTATTTCGCGGCATTTCCTTCCTTTTTCTTTCCCTGAAATCGATAGAACAATACAGTGAGAGGTTTATCTAAGAAGTTAATATGTCCGAGACCTTCAAACTTGCAGGACGAAACATATGCTCTCTAGATTAAATTAAAAGATAGAAAAGATAGTTACAGGAGGTCTGTAATGCTTCGGCATCTTGGAGAGAGATAGCTACAACGGAGCAATGGCTCGCAACTCAGCGGAGAGGGAAAGAGAGTCTAAGCAATGGTTCTCCGCCCGTTATATACATAGGGCAAAGTGGTGCATCACTTATCGTAAATTTTCATCCTTGGTTGTCCTTTTTGGCTGTTACATTTTCACTTATGTCCCTATCTTTTAATATATTTATACTCTTTACCCCTCTATTTTCACACGTCTAACTTCTAAGTTCTAACAAGTATTATTTCGTATTGTGAAGGAGTCATGATTGATTAGATTAAGGCTAAGGCCTCTTTTGTTTTCTCTTAAGTTTTATCTTTTACCATTTTTTTGCGAGAATCACATCAATAAATATCTATTTACGTTTGGAAAATAAGCCTGAAAAAAAAAATTATTATCATGAGAATAACATTTAATTGAGAAGTTTAGACTTTGGCCTTATTTTTAAATGTTTATTCAATAGGACCAGCTACAAAAGGCGTAGCCAATATTTTACATTAGGCAGTCGTTGTGCACGAGATTTTTGGGTGATTTGGTCCTTGTACGCCAAATGCCTCTGAACGGGACCAAAATGGGCTCATCCAAAATGGGCTCATCCATGATATATTAATTGTACCAAATACCACCTTGTTCTATTCCCACGAATTGGTCAATAAGGATCTGAAAATAGTATGACATTTTCATCATCAATTATCCTTTTTCAATAGAAGAATTGGTTAGGTGAGACTTTACTCTTACGGGCCGTCTTAATTTATATATAGGTGTTTCTAATTGTTTTAATATTTTTATTATTATTTACTATAATCATCATTATTATTATCATCATCATCGTAATAATAATAATAACCTGAGAAGGCTTATAGTGAATGTAACGTGATAACAACCATGAATATTTTAGAATGTAAAATACAAACCATTCCCTTATGCTATGTTTGGTTTGAAGGAAAATGTAGGGTAAGGTAAAGAAATCTATACAAGATTTATACAGATTTCCTTACATTTCCCTTCCTTTCCCTACTTTTTCCTTCAAATCAAACAAAGTCTTAATGTTTGGTTGAGTTGCAAATTACAAAAGTGTTTTAATAATATGTCAATTAGGATAAATTTTAGTAAATACATGAAATTATAAGCGGTGTTTAAATAAAATTATCTATTTTCAACTCCTTGTTGACCCTGTTAGTTAAACCAACAATCGGTCACACTCCTATTTTAGAATGACCTCTATCCCCCGGGTAAGACCCCCCTTGACCATTAAGTCGGATAATGGAATGTGTTAAATTACCAAAATACCCTACTAAACTTTTTCTATTCTCTTTTTTTGCCATTTTTCTCTTAAAACCTAATCAACCTATTGTTTTCCCTTTCTTCTCTTATTTTCTCCTCCCTCACCGTCCTTTCTCATTCTTTATCTCTCCCAGCTCTCCAAAATGAAAAAACGGAGGAAACTCATCTCTCTCCCAAGTCTTCTCTTTAAAATTATGATATCATCTTTTTTCCATCGACATGTCAAAGTCAAAGTAAAAGAAGTGGTCAATTTGTATAATTTATCCGAAAGGTAGAAGAAGTTTTTGGAAAAGTTAAATTTCAGAGGAAGTTAAAAGAGGGGAAATCTGTAGAGCTACTGATCGAGGGAGTAACCGGCTATTATGGGTTTCCTCTTATGGATGTAATTTAGCGGACAGCAAGGAAACCTTATATTCACTCTCTTTCGTCCGTCCGGGAATTTTTTCTCTCTCCAACCAATGGTTCCATTACCTTTCTCGATTTTCTTTCTCATTAGCTTATCTATCCTTCCTTTTGATTTCTTTTTTAATTTTCTTTTGATAACCCCATTTGTTTAATGGATCTCGGTCATTAGTCGCAGTAGATAGGCTAATGATCTTTGGTGGCAATTTCTTTTAAAAGGATGTGGGGCTTAAAAGACAAAAGCATACACTCTTTAGGTAGATTTCTATTGTTAGGCATTGTTTATCATTTTCAACTTTTCCTTACTCTTTTCAATATACCAGTTTTGCGTTTCATCATTGAGATGATATGTGGAGTTCTTTAGGTGGTAGATTTCTGTTGTTAAGCATTGTTTGTCATCTTTAACTTTTTCTTACTTGGTACTCTTTTCAATCTTCAGGTTTTCTGTTTTGTCCTTGAGATGATATGTGGAGTTTTGTTTTCTATTTATTCATGGAGAGAATGAGATGTTTTTCTTAGGATAAATTTGCATAGATAATGAGCCCCTTCTTTCGTTAATTGTATATTTTGCTAATAAGTGTTATTTAAATCAACAAAGAGTGAAAGGAGAGCGTTCAGTGTCTTGCATTGTGGAGTCATTTAATTTATTCTATTTTTCAAATTTGATGCTTGTAAATATATAGAGGGATATGATCGTGATCACCTTTTGTTGCAGATATTGGAAAAATCCTCTCAAGGAGCAAGCCTGGTATTAACCAAGACAAACTTGCAGAAACTCCACAATTTAAAAGAGCAAAAAAATCCAATGACATTTTGAAATCATAAGTTTGACAAAGGAAGAAATAATGACGGCCACCGTGGAGGTTGCAACAGAGAACAAGGATGAAGACAAGAAAAACGTTTTGGTAGGCATTCGAATGGATAGATATGGTCGAGATTTGATTAATTGGGTCCTTATTAAAGTTTCTGAACGTGGAAGATGAACAATGTTTTTCTCGTCTAGTTATTACAAGGATAGTATGGGGATTAAAAATATTGTAACGGCCTTTTTTAGACGAAAGGCTAACAAAAGGGGTCTTTGTCTCACGGTCATAGTACATGGGGGTCTTTTTCGTAAAACAAAGTACAGGGAGGTCTTTGTCACAGGCCCCATAGAAGGAGGGTGTTTATAATTTACCATTTTTTCTTTATTTTATGCTTTGTAATGGTTGTTAATGGTTTCCTTTTGTCAACAAAAAATATAACATTTTATTATTAAAAAAACTCACATTTTATGGACCCTTGGTCCACCTTCTACGAATACACATATGCACCTCACAAAGGAACGTCCTATAAACACCCCACAAAATATCCCAACCGTGTATTGGGAGTGTCTCCCATTGACAATTTTCGGGAGATGTTCCCAATGCACGTTGAGATGTGCCAATGGGGCATTTGCAGGGAGCATATGCGATCTCACTTTTTACATGGGCCCTCCAATAAAATTGTACCACATCATTTAATTCTTTTCATTTCAAAACTATTGGGGATAGGATAATTTAACACCATGAATGATCCATGATTTCCCATCTCTCTCTTTCTCTTTTAATTAAACGTTTAGATAGATGATGTGGATTTATACAAAATTAGAAAAATAAAAAATACAAGAAATAAAAAGATAGATGCCACATAGATCATTGTGTTTTAATATTTAGGTATAGATGTTGGAAACTTGAGGCAAGATCTAGGATGACATAAGTGATGTGGGGGTGAAACCATTAAAGTTTGCGGCCAAAATTTATTTGGCGATGATAGAGTGCATTTGACTCTACCACTGCCACTAGATTGGGATTTTGAAGGAATTGAGCTTGGCTATGGTCCATCCTAATGTCTAGAGCTTCACTTTTAATAAAAAACCTTGCACATGACCCAAGTGACCTCGCATAATATAAATGGGATTCAGTCGGTGCAAAGCCAATCAAACAACCATCATAGCCTTACACCGGGAATACCTCCCCATGAAATAAAGCATAGAATATCTCTCCCAAGGCCCTAACCTAGCCGACCTAAAGGTTATAGACCACATGGCATCAGAATTTCCATTAAGTGAAGCCCCACTTGTGGCCATGGTTGCATTCCATTTTGATTTTTACAAAGGAGGGGGGAAGGTGAACAATCAATTCCTTCAAAGATCAAACAATTGTGAGCTTATATCTGGATGTTCCAATAAGTAATGGCAATAAGCGCAAAAGTTGAGTATGAAGCTCTAACATGGAGATTGGATAACAAAAATAGGATCCACGTATGAAAGTATGAGCAGCTGAACCAGATAGCTTGGGAATTGGGATAAAGGATTAAAGGGTAGTGGAGCAATGCATTGTTTGTTGATTCGGAAGTATGAGTCATCTTGGGCAGCAAATATCAAATTGACAACGTTAACCTTGCTTGGAGATCCAAACCCTAACCTAACTTGAAGTCAAGTTGGGCTCATTTTTCAACCTAACAATGATTTCACATGCAATCCCATCCGATAGAAAATGGGATCTAGTCCCAACAACTGGTCCCAATAACCATTGTAGTTATATATTAGGAACATCCTGTCGTGGAGGATAAGGGAGATATTTCAAATGCACGGCTGCAAAGCTGATGGAACTATGTATTGGGACCATTTGTTGGGATGTGATTTGAATTCATCTAATGGTCCTTTTTTCCTTTTTAATATTTATAGTAGAATGGCCTGTGCAATGCACGATATACTTAAACCATGTATAGGCTATCATTCAAATGATCATAAATCTTTATTGAATTATAACATATAGATAAAATCACAAACAAATCATAAATCTAAATTGGAAAAATGAACCAGAGACATAACAAGGCAGGAATAGATGAACTAACCCATGCATGTCACACTAAATTTTAACAAGGTCTCCAGTTTTTCTAGTGATTGCATGGAGTATCTGGATTTTCTAGTCCTCATCATAGACTTCAAGAAGCCCATCAATGTGACAAATGGTCTCAATAATTATGTGGAAATTTAGATAGATAAATGTGTAGGTTATCATTCAAGAGATCAGAAATCTTTATTGAATTATAATATATTGATAAAATTAGATGTACAAATAGATTGCCCAAGCAGAGAACCATGGAAATTTGTTCTATAGTCTTATGGGTTTTTTAATCAGTTTCCACACAGCCAAAAATTATGCTTTTTTTTTTGAGAAAACCCTTAGTGTAGGTTAAACGATATTGAAAAAAACATTACAAGGCAAAAAAATATGAACTGATCCATGCATGCCATACAAAATTTTAACAAGGTCTTTAGTTTTTTCTAATGATTGCATGGGAGTATCTGCATTTTTTGGTCCTCATCACAAACTTGAAAAAGCTTATGGACAAAGTAATTCCCAAAAGGATCCATCATGAACTCAACAATGTGAGCAATGATTTCAATAAGGGGCAACCATGTTAATCCTTTCCTATGAGATTTGTGATGCCAGGGAATGAACCCTTGGGAGTTCTAACCATGTAATTAATTGGAAGGATGACACATTTAGAAATGATGGATGGTATTGGTAGTCACTATTCACGAATTTACCATGGTTTAGTGCTATTGTTCATAAGTTTTATTGGATTATATTTAATTATTTTTCAATTCATAGAATGGTAATATGTTATGAACTTGATCCATAAAAAAATATTCTTATTAGCCAATATATATAAGAAACTGACAATATAATAAGGGATTTTTTGATAGGAAACCAAAATTGGTTGATTCATCTCGGCATTGCTCATCCTCTCACTGTCGTCGAACCAAAACCAAAAGAACACTTTGCACTTCATCCCTGCCAAGTGTCGAAAAATACAAAGATTTTTCTACTGGTCCAATTTAATATTTGAATGTTTGGGAAAATAACAAAAGATAGACCAGGCATGTTGAAAAGGAATTAATGCTTGTTTAAAATGAGGGCATGTGAGGGGCGTATTCAAAAAGGGCAATATTAAAAATATAAAATCAGGATGTTTTGACAATTTTAAACATTTTAAGAGAATAAATCCTAGAAATATGAGATCAGGGTGTCATTTTTATAAATGGGTTAAGATAAGATGTATTTTTAACATAAAGTCATACATTTATGGTTTTCTACTTAACAATATTATGTATTTGAGTAATTCATAACATTTTGTCCTAAATTAAAATGTATTTTTAAAAGATGACGTTCTCTCGAATATTTAAAGTTGAATGTCCTATTGTCATTTAAGCTGAGAGTTGGCGTAAGTTGTACTTTTCCCATTCTTTTTTACCCCCCGAGTCCCGATTAATAACCGATGCACCTCTCAGGCTCTCTTCCGTAGTCACAGGCTCACAGCTACAAGAGGCTGGCCGAGACTTCTCCTCCGAAGTCAGAAGTGTACCCCAAATGGCGGCAACTCCGTTAAGCTCGTCTTCTTCATGCACAAGCACAAACCCTGGCTTCGATTGTGTTTCCAAAACCCTAAAAGACTCGTTTCTCACCAAGAAACCTTCAATCATTCGATTGCCGAAGGAGAAAAGCCAGATTAGTTGCGAGCTTAGAGGTTTCGGAGACCATCGGAGATGGAACACAGATTACGGGTCTCAAATCGATCATCTTAACATCATTCAGAGCTCTTCTGCTCTTCCAATGGCCGCGAATGCTGCACTAGATTCGCTTCCAAAGAATTCGAAGAAGGTCTGCCTTTTCTACTGCGCAGAGACAAAGGCTCTCGCCGAGAGAGTTGCTGCGGAATCAGACGCGATTGAGCTCCGAAGCATCACGTGGAGGTGGGTTCTTCTGGTCGCATTCACGAGGAACACTTCCAAACTGTTTCATGTTCTTGCATTTCTTTGTTTGGATAAATTTTCACCTTCTTACATCTGATTGGCGAGCTTGTGAAGTTTACATTAAAATACAGGTTAGATAATATAAGGGGGTGGAGCCAAATTAAAAAAAAAGGTGGGATATTTTGTAGTTAAGCGGTATTCATGGCTACAATTATAATACACCGTTGTTTTGGCTTCCATTCGTGCATTTACCTGTCTCAAATTGAGCAATTGTCCCCCCCTCCCCCAATGTCGGTTAAACTATATATACGAAGATAGGTCTAATTTTATATTGTATATTTATTTTTTTTCTCAGTTTACTGGGATTGACAACTTATCAGGTGGAATTTGATGGTTCTGGTTTCCATGGACATGAACATGGGTCCTGTGAAATTTTAATCATGTTGTTATGGTATGCTCTAGTTACATGTTCTTGCGATGGACACAAGTCTGAGGAGGTTGTCAGCCAAGAATGTGATAATACTTAGACGAGAATACCTGGACAGTTTTTACCTATCAAAAGAAAAAACCCGGACAGTTATGTTTGAACATATTCTAAAAACTTACTAGCTGACAATTATCTTTCCATATGCCAAACTTTAATGAAGCTTAAATATAGGGAATCAGTAGGGGTGGCAACGAGCCGAGATTTTCACGAGCTATTCGAGCTCGACTCGGTTTAAATTGAGCTTCGAGCCAAGCTCAAGCCTAATAAAGCTCGGCTCGTGAGCCTCGCAAGCCTAATCGAGCTTCTACATACATACATACATACATACATATAGTATTTATATATTTATATATAATAATAATAACTAATTATTATAATTATTAATTTTTAAATATCAAATAAAAAATAATTTTTTACTTTTTAAAGCATTTCTCATAGTCGAGCTCGAGCTTATGAGCTTTTGACTCGATCTGAACTCGAGCTCAAGTCTTTAGCTCGAACCGAGCTCGAGCCTCATACTGTCTTGGCAAACCGAGCTTGAATAGCTAGCTATTTGGCTTGGCTCAGCTCGAATCCACCCCTAGGAATCCGGGTCCTCTGGAAGTAGGAGGAGGAGGATGGCTGTTGCAAGTCTTTTAGACATTAAAGTCTTGGAGGAAGCAGGTGCTTATTCTCTTGTACAATTCCAAATCTTTCATTCACTTACTGGTAACCTGAAAGGCAAATTTTCATTAATTTCTATAAGTTCAAGCTCTATCATTTTGACTCTAGGGAACAAACCCCTATGGAGTTTTTTTTTTTTTTTTAATTTTCTTATGCCCATATTGTTGGATGCCCCCTTGTCATGTCTTCTGGGGGCTAACCATATTCTTGTACTTTGCCATTGTTTCCTTACTAAGCCTTTGGGATATTATTCTCTAACCAAAGCTATAGAGTTAAGCCTTGGTTTTATGCCCATTTCTGACATATTTTATGCAATCTACTGCTTTAGGACATTTGAAGATGGATTCCCCAACTTATTCATTACAAATGCTCATGGCATACGTGGCCAGCATGTAGCCTTTTTGGCATCATTCAGTTCCCCAGGGGTAATTTTTGAGCAACTCTCTGTTATATATGCATTGCCGAAGCTCTTTGTCTCATCATTTACACTTGTCCTCCCCTTTTTTCCCACTGGTACTTCTGAGCGTATGGAGGAGGAAGGAGATGTTGCAACAGCATTCACTCTTGCAAGGATCTTGTCAAATATACCAATTTCAAGGGGTGGACCCACTAGTCTAGTGATTTTTGACATTCATGCCTTGCAGGTTTGTGCCAATTCTTAGAATATAGTACAATATATTGTTTCTTTCTGTATGCAGGGAGCCCTTAAGGACCCTCTTCATAACCAGTCAATAATTGTCTCCTGTTTGATGAATAGTTTCAATTGGCAATTTCATCAATCAAGATGGCTGTAGAGGGGCAGGGAGTCCTGAAATAAAGAGATCTAGTCATTTAGATGAAGTGTCCAGTCAGTCTTTTAACCTTATATATAAGTTCCTTTGAACAATTATCTATAAACATCAGGGTATATCAATTATAAACCTTTGAACAAACTTTATTCTTCAAAATATAATTTGATATCAGCAGTAATTATTTTGTAAACTATCAGGGCCCTGGTTGTATTATCCAGTAACATGCAGGGTTTCTTGTTTTGGCCTCCCTGTCTATGCCATATTTCAAAATTGACACCTTTCTTATCTATTTGTGTTTCAGGAAAGATTCTACTTTGGTGATAATATCTTACCATACTTTGAGAGTGGAGTACCTTTGCTTAAGAATAGGCTCCAACAGCTCCCTGATTCTGACAATGTAAGATTGATTCTTTTTCTAATATTTATATATATATATATACTTTAAGGATAGTAAAACAGCTTTCCCATCTCCTCATTTGTTGCTCTGCATCTGCATAATGTCAACAATATAATGGACAGGAAATCCTAAAAGAAAAGGAAGCTGCATGGGCGCCCATACAAATATATGGAAAATGGCATGCAGCATCCATGGCATTTTTTCTCTTCTGGTGTTAGCTCAAAGATAATTTTCCATGCAAGCCAGCATATTTTTGTGGCCAATTGATTTGGAAATGCAGTTGTGAAAGCCCTAATTTATTGGACCAAGCAAAAGCATGCAGGGTGGGTTTCTATGTGAATGATGCCATTATTATAGCCATTTTATAACAGTTAAAGTTTTTTCTTCTTTTGACCGAAAGTTATTGCTTCTGGAGTTTTTTCTCTTGCAGCTAGTATTTATTTCTATTGATTACCACCTTCAAACCCATCTTCTCCTGCTTGTCAGCTTGAGATTTTATCGTTGCACCAAGCAATGGCCATTTGATAACTTTTCTTTGATTGCCTTTTCAAACTTTTGGGTTAATGGGGACATTGATGATAATGTGATAATTGCTTATTCATTCTAATTCATGACACCTGTGTCACATTTGTTGTTTTTAGATATCCATTGCTTTTCCTGATGATGGTGCATGGAAGCGCTTCCATAGGCAGTTGCAGCATTTCCCAACGGTAATGTGCCTAACATGGATAATCTACTTTTAGATGGCAATGATGGACACAAAAATGAGTCGCACATCAGAATAGCTATGCACACTAATGACATAAACTTACCAGTCATAGGAGTGGCAGAAAGTAAAGGAGGAAAGAATCTATATATTCCTATGCTGCTCCTCTGGTCTAATTTGCCCAATTTCAATCTGACCTGGTTTTCACTGTTTATGGACTTTCTCAACTGAAATGTGTACATACATTTTTGTGTGTACACAGGCATGAAAACACAGAGTGGCCTGAGTTTTTTCTAACTGGCTAGACAGTCAATAGAATGTTTGTCACCCAAGGGAAAAATGGCTCAACTATATGGACATTTTTTGTGTGTTGCTGCAAAAGGTTTTCGTCTAGACATCCCATGCCCATGTGTTTCAACGATGCCCTTATGGCTCTGCCCAGCTCAGTAATTCCTAATTGATGTATCATTTCTATTGTGATTGTTAGTTATCTCATGTATCTTTTCACTTGTATAATCTGTTACAAAATTCAAAATTCAGATTGTCTGCAATAAAGTTCGTGAAGACGACCAACGAATTGTACGCCTTAAAGAGGGAGATCCCAGAGGCCGTCATGTTGTAATTGTTGATGATCTGGTCCAATCTGGTGGTACTCTGATTGAATGTCAGGCAAGTCCATCCTAATTGATCTTTTACTCTATTTTAGTCATTTTCCATCCATTGGGGTGAACATGTGTATTGCATCAACCAAATACATTATTAAAGGACATTAATACCAGTATTAAGTGAGCTTGTGCTGTTCGTCACAATTTTTGTTTCTTTACCTGCATGATAACACATACCAAGTCTGCAGGCTTGCTGCTAGGGCTGCAACTTGGATGGGCTCAGTTTGAGCATTTGCCAAATTTTGAATGGGCCCAGACCTAATGCTATGTAAATTCTTCTAGTCGGATACCTGATTTGCACTCCTACTTTGCTGCCCTTCTTGATAAGCTCAACCCCACGGAAATGCTTAGTGGTATCTAATATAGTTTTTTGGATTACCATTTACCAGAAAAAAGCTCATCCTCTAATGCACCAAATGCTGATATGTTCCCATTGTATGTGTTCAGATATGTGGCTTTGAATTTCAGCTGTTATTGGTAGGGTATTGTACAAGTTGAGTTGATCTGAGCTTTTTTCCCAACTCAGCTTGGGCTCACAAAGTAACTTTTGCACTTTGGATTCTATGCCTCTTTGTGCCACATAATTTTTTTTTTTATTATTATTTTTTTTAGTTTTCAGTTTACCTCTTATCTGTTGGCAAGCTGAGAGATAATATTCCATTTGAATTTCTTTAAGGCTATGCTTGGTTCGAAGGAAAAGGTAGGGAAACCTATACAAGGTTTGTAAAGGTTTCCCTACCTTTCCCTTCCTTTCTCTCTCTACTTTTTCCTTTAAACCAAACACAGCCTAAGAATAAAACCAAAAACACAAAAGTACCCACTCATCTTTTCAAAACATGACTAGACTGAAACCTGTAAAAAGCCCTCTCTTGAACTCCAACCACCCTCTTCCCACCATGACTCCAATGGAACTTTTGGCTTTGAAAGATGAATGGAGAGAGGAGATCTCCATTTCAACAAAATGTATCGTACCCCAAACCAGCATTGCTCTTTGAGACCAAATCTGCCTTATATTTCCTTCTTTTTTATTTTTTTTTTCATGTTGGCTTGTTAGAGTGAATTAATTCATGGTGTATCCAATGCTTTATTTTTAGTTTTCAATAAATACAACTCTGTAAAAGAAAAAGGAAATGTTCTGTTATAAATTCTTGGTCTTTTGGGGTTTTTAAGAACTGGGGTTGATATTCTGGTAGAATCAATGCAAGCCCATTGAGATGATCTCGTAGTTTGGAGATTGTGTAACACAGAACATTTAAAAGCTGACAAAATCATAAAAGAGAAACTGACGCCTTAGATTACAATTGATGTTGCTGGACCCACAGTACCTCATTCCAATTCCTTCCCATCCCCGCTAGGCTATCTGCCAAGCTGTTAGAAGACCTTGATATCCAGCTGAACGAGCAATTGAGATTGGCTGCCTATGTCATGGCTTCTCTTAACTGGCTGAACGAGCAGTGGAACATTATACATAGGAGAACCCTATCCACCAACTTCTTTTGCAGTCAATATAAAACATTTCAACATACCATACATAGAGATTCAAAAAGAAAATAATCATAGGCTGGGACACCCCCAAGTCCTTGGTTTCCATTTTAAAATGATAATTTGACCTTTACAGGGCTTCAAGCAGATTATCAATTACCACCAATTAAATAGGGAATACCTAGAGTACTATTTGGTTTGCAATACACAAATTTATCATCTAATCCCTTCAATATAACTGTTATTTAATTTGAAATTTTAAATTACACTGCCATTTATTTCAGAAAATGCTGGCTGCACATGGAGCATCCAAAATCAGTGCATATGTGACACATGGAATTTTCCCTAATAGGTCCTGGGAACGGTTCCAACACGATAGTGGAGGTATGTATGCATTCGTTATGCTTTAGTTTGATTAGTGATGACCAAATCTAGAACTATTGTCAGTGTTGTTATAACTTTCGGTTATTAATTTACATGTTCCTTGTTTGTGGTAATTAGATCTAGATATGGACCTTTTTAGATGCCCTACCAACATGTCATCAGTGGATCTTTTAATCAGACCATCTTTAGTTTAGAATTTAAACTGGGTACACATTCATTCATTCATTTGAACTGATCTGGAAGTAGAATGCTGGATGGTAATTCTTGTTCCAGATGGAAGGTTCATATTTCATACTAACGTTAAATGTTCTAGTTGCCTATTTCTGAGACATTTCATTTTATTTTCGTTCTTTATTAATTATTCTTATATAAGTTCTTGTGCTTCTCAGGGTCCCCAGATAATGGACTGGCCTACTTTTGGATCACAGACTCCTGCCCTTTGACAGTGAAGGAAGTTAAAAACAGACGCCCCTTTGAAGTGCTTAGTCTTGCTGGCTCCATAGCAGCCGCCCTTAAGATATAACATAGTCTATGTTCGGAGAAGTTCTATTTATCTACCTACTCTTTTTTTCCCCTTCGATTTGCAAGTTTTGATGGCATTTGGAGAGTCTCAGAATTTTGGACTAGTTGCGGCTTAAATGCATTTGTATCATTGCCTATATCGACAGAAAATAATATCAATCCTTGTTCCAACTTCAATTACTGATCCCATTCTGGGTATTCTTTCTCCTATTCTACTGTGAACTGAAACCCTTGGCGCCCCCTTTCGTAACCCACCCACCCAAGATAAATTCTTTCGAGTTCCGCCGGCGGACACCGATGGCCATACAAATGGCGAGAAGGTAAGTATTCTGTAATGGAGGGAAGCGTCGCTGGTTTTCTTGGCGCCCCCTAACTACTATTCTTACTTCCCTTCCAGCGGTAGCGTCGCTGGTTTTCTCAGCGAAATGCTTAGCATCGGATTTAATGTCATTGGGTTCAACTGGATGTCGTCGCCGGCGGCCACAGAGCTGGTTAAGCTCCCCAAGCCTTTCCTCTTCTCTGGAAACGGTGGTGGTGTGCTACAAGGGGCTACCTGCGAAGCCATCCTTTGCACGCTCACGAGAGCCAGAGATAGGATGGTGAACAGAATTGGTAGGGAGAACATAGGGAAGTTGGTGGTTTATGGATCAGATCAGACCCATTGTGCACTCCAGAAAGCTGCCTAGATTGCAGGGATCTTTCCAAACAACTTCCGTGCCGTTGCAACGAGTAAGGCCACCTCATTCGGGCTGGCCCTCGAGTCTCTTCGGTCTGCAATTCAAGCAGATATACAAGCTGGGCTCATCCCATTATTCCTCTATCGACAGTCGTCAATCCAATTGCTCCTCTATGCGCAATGACCAAAGAGTATGGAGTTTGGGTTCACATCGATATAGCATACGCCGGAAGTGCATGCATATGTCCTAAGTTCAGACACTTCATCGATGGGGTAGAGGATGCCGACTCGTTCAGTTTCAATGCACACAAGTGGTTCTTCACCACTCTCGATTGCTGCTACCTTTGGGTCAAGGACCCTAGCGCCCTTGTTAAGGCCCTGTCAACCAGTCGTTGATTCCGAGCAAGTGATAGACTACAAAGACTGGCAAATAGCCCTCAGTCATCGATTCCGAGCCATGAATCTCTGGATGGTGCTTCGGAGCTGTGGTGTGGCCAACCTAAGAAATTTCCTTCGAACCCACGTGAAAATGGCTAAGCACTTCGAAGAGAAGGTAACCATGGACAAGAGGTTTAAGATTGTGGTGCCGAGGAATTTCGCCATGGTATGCTTCCGGCTGCTACTGCCGCCGGTGAAGGATCATGAGGATGACACGCTCAGGCAATTGTCGGAGTTGGAACATGCAAACGAGATCAACTGTAAGTTGCTGGAGTCAATCAACTTGGCTGGGCGCATATACATGATGCATGCGGTGGTTGGGGGTGTTTACATGATCAGGTTTGCTGTTGGTGCAAGCCTTATGGAGGACCGCCATGTGAACTTGGCAGGGAAGGTAGTGCAGGAACATGCAGAGGCCATTCTCAAAGCGTGCTGATTAAGGTGGCGACCTGCGACCACCACTCCGTATTCGTGGAGTTGAGGGTTTAAGTCGAACTTACGAAAATAAAGAATAAGACCCAGGAAAAAAAAATAAAAGAAATTAATCACTTGGGTTCATTAATTTTGTTTGTATTCATCATCTGTAATTTTTTCTTAAATTTCTTTTGTATCTATTAAATCATCTACATTGAATTGTTTCTACTATGAAATTATCAAATTATTATTGATTTTACAACAATGATTCTTAATTCTCTCTCTATCTCTCCCCCTTTGTATGGCCGTCGGCGTCGGTCGACGGAACTCGAAAGAGTTTATCTCCAGTGGGTGGGTTACGAAAGGGGGCACCAAGGATTTCGGTTCACAGTAGAATAGGAGAAAGAATACCCACAATGGGAGAAGAAACCCTTTTGGGCGAGAAGGAATTAACAGATGTGATACAAACAACGTGAAATAGAGACCGCACGAGTCATGACACGCATTGCGTCTATCCAAATCCACTTTAAACCAATCCAATCCGCCCAATTCCATTAATTTTATATTTATGTACTTAAAACAAAAAACTCCCTTTCCACAAATAAGTTGGTCATAGCTTGGTGGTAGTAGTAGTTGCTATTTACACAAGTGGTGAAGGTTTAAATCACATTACATGCATGTTATTTTTACACAAGCGGCGAAGTCATTTGACTATAATAGTAGTTGTTATTTACACAAGTAGTGAAGGTTCAAATCACATTACATGCATATTATTTTTACACAAGTGGCAAAGCCATTTGACTATTTCGGGTTTTGGGTTTGACCAAACCACTTGGGTTCAAACCGATCAGGCCAACTTGAACTATCTAATTGGATTGTCTTCGAGCTAATCACATCAAGGGTGGTTGAACCATTTAGATATAGATCAATCTGATCAGACCAGACCAGACCGGATCAGTCAATGGCGGATTGACTTGGACCGGCCCATATCAGGTTTGTGACCGAATTAACTTGCCCGAAGCGGGTCAAGAGAAGTAAATCAGACCGGTCTAGATTTGAGTCGGGTTGTGCGGATACGGTCCGGACGATCCAAACCGGGCAAAGTAAGCGGGGTAGATTTTTGGTCAGGACGAACCATCGCGCACATGCCTATTTCGGATTCGGGTCGATTGGATCGGCCTATCCTTGGTCGGGTTCGGATTGGGATTGTCGACCCAAACGAACTGAATCGAGATGATCAGGCCTGTTCATATTTAAACCAAATTTATCTGCTTCGGACTCGGGTCGATTTGGATTTATGTCGATTTGGGTGAAGTGTGTTGATTCAAGACAAAACTAATTTTAGTCAATAATTAATAGAAAATTAATACATTAATTATAAATTATTTCATTCAAATGAAGAAAATTAAAAAAAAGGCTAAAGAATTAATACTTGTATCTTTAGTGGTTAACCCAATGGTTATCCACAACTCAACCCAACCCAACCTATGTAAATTGACCCAATGGGTGATCAATCCATTTCCAACCCGCCAAGTAAATAGGCGGGTTGGGTGAAAAACTGCCACCCCTACTTGTCATTCAAGTGGTTGAATGCAATGTTTTAAAAACCGAATGGGAGGTTGATCCATTTTGCTTTTGGGTCTGGGTCACTGGTTTTTTTGGTAGAGGGGTCATTGGTTTGACCGTTCGGGTTGAACAGGTCAGACCATGCCATGTCATTAAATCTATCTATCTATCTATCTATTTGTCTATATACATACACACATAGATATGTATAAACATGTATTTCATTATTAAAAAATGTATAATTATTTTTGTGATGAAATATACATATATATATTATTTCATGTTTAGTTTACATTTTTAAATTTGTTTTTTATTTTATAAATAAATGTTAAAAATTGTAATTTGAGGCCCGATTTTTTCTATGAAAACAACAAGCAAGGTGTCTTTTGACATAGATCTCAAAAAATTACTCAAAATAAAAAAAAACCCAATCATACATTAGAGTGCAAAGTAATGGCCTCTAAAAGTTTGCACATACATTGAACGTGCAACCTGTGACTTGATAACTAGGTCAAACGGATCAACGATTAAACCACTCAGGTTGGATGGTTTTTGGCTAAGTCAATATTTTTAACCAAACAATAGATTTCAACAAAACTAGACCCAAAAATCAAGATTGGGTGATGGTTCAAATGATTCAATTGGTCGGGTCAATGATGGATTGAAAACACTGGTTTGATGCAATGTGACTGCCTTGTTAAGCAGCTGGTTTGTTAGTCACATTGTTTTGTCAACTTCCTTGACCATCAAGATCGCTACTTATTTTGGGCTCTATCGTAGGCTCTAGGGGTGAGCATGGGTTAGTTCGGTTCAGTTCCATGGCAAAACTTGGGACCTACCTTGTAGGGGTCGATTCAAAGTTTTTGAAATTGGAACCTACCCTGTGAAGGTCGTTTCTGGCCTTGGTAGTTCTGGGGTCGGTTCTAGGGTCTACTTATGGAACCTATTATTTCTTTACTCTCCCTCTTAAAAAAATGAAACATGTCCTTTAAAAACTTTATTTTCAATAATGATAATATATAGTTTAAAACTTATATTGTCTTTACTGATTAAATTGAGTAACTTGATATATAGATTATCATAATATATTAATATATTGTTCAAAATTTGTCATTGTAATTTAAATTTTGCAAATATTACATTTTACATTATTTATTATTCACATTCAAATATTAAAATGAAAACAAATGGTCAAATCACTCAAGTAACTCAATGGTCAAGTGAGACCATGGCTTTTGTAACCATGAGTGCTTGGGTTCAAATATTTACATCTTTCAAAATATTTTGGGGTTTATTTCAAGGCAAGTTTGGTTCTAAGGTTTGTTCCACCAAGGCCAACTAAGGCCGATTCATTGAATCGGTTCGGGTAGGGTAAACTCCTAGACCCTGAAACAGACTTGGGTGGAGGTCAGTTCCAAGAATTTGAAACCAAACCCTACTTTATAACAGATTGGGTAGAATCAGTTCAAAGCTGATTTGAGTTTGGTCCAACCAATTTTGGGTAAAACCTATCCATTTGCTCACCCCTAGCAAGCCTTGTCTTCCTCTCTCAACATCTAGTTGTGAAAACTTCAGTTCAAAAGACATTGCTAGTGTATTGTCCTTACAAAACATTTTTTTATAGACATTGTAAAAGTAAAATTAATAAAAAGGGAAGCTATAAATCTGCCATTGAATTCCTTCATACGGTAGAAATAAGTGGATCATGTACGGAAAATTTCTCAAGCAAAAAAGAAAATGAAAATGAAAATGAAAATGAGTCCGTACCCTTAAAGACAAGGTTCTGTATATCACATTCTCACAAGCCGATACTCATGGATCGGAATTGTTTCAGCTTTCAAGTTTGAAACATATGAATTTGGATTAGCCGAAAACTTTGGCTGTGAAACCAATGATGAGGTTTTACGTCGGTCATAAATTCATGGGCCCCACTATGATAGCTAGTGCAGAACGTTGTTATTGGTTCCACAACCCGTTAAACAATTAACACGTTCAGTTAAACCTTGCCCAAATCATGCATTTCTAGGAAGGGTATGTTATGACTATTTGTCATAAAACTTTAACGATATTGGTGACATTGAAA